GAGTGAGAGGAGGAGAGGAGAGAGAGGAGAGGAAAGAGAGGAGGGGGAGGGGGAGGGGAGGGGGAGGGGAGGGGGAGGGGAGATCAGTTTAAGAGCTTTCAAGTGCTTAGAATGTTCGTTTTTCTGGATCTTCTCAGGAGATCATCTGGGAAACTCACACACAGAGATAGGAAACAAACCGACACATCTATAATTATATTCCTTTATATCATTTTTAGTTCTTTGAGGGTTGCAAGTTTTGTACAGCTTGTTTTGCTCACATTTAGCTTACTTGCCCAATTGTTTCCAGATTCCTCTCTTGCCTGCCCATTCAACTCTGTATCTCTTTGTTTAGACTCTTCATGACAAACTTGTCCATCCCAAATATTCCTGGACTTGTGGTGTCTCACTGGAGCACAGTCACTTCACCAGGGACTACCCTCTTAGAGAAAACTGTCATTTTCTCTCCCAACAGCTAACAATTGCCATTTGCTCCATGGGTCAAGAAGAGATTGTATCCAGCTCCGCTTTCCATGCTGGAATTTGATCTGGCTCAGGTTTGCAGAAATTTTGTGTGTACTGTCCCAACCCCTCCATTGAGACTTTGAATATGCAGCTGCCCTGTTGTGTTCTAGTTCCCTGGCTCCTCTGCTCTTTCTTCCTCTTGCACCTCCTGTGAATGACACTTGTTTGTCTGTCCTGGCTCCCTGCATGCTGTAGGTGATCAATCTTATTGTTTCCTGGTTTACTCTTGTGCTTGATTTTGAGCAGATTAATTAAAGGGTGAAAATGCTTATTCCTTCTTTATTCTCACATAAGGTATACATTGGTTTTGCTAATAAAAGTTATTCTTTTCTGCTTATCTACTTCATTGATTGACAAACTATGGTCCAAGAACTAAAAATAGTAGAATGTTTCATTTTCAAAATGAATTTCTATTTCCATACAACTATGCTCATTTTCTTCTGTGTTATATATGATTACTCCAGTGTTAAAACAGCAGTATTGAATAATTGCAAAAATGTCTTTATGGTGTTCAAATCACATGATATATAATAATAAATACAGGTTATTTGCAGAAGCATAAAACCTTCTTAACTCCAGTCATCCAAAACATGTTTTGTTGGTACATATCTTTAATCCCAGTGCTTGGAAGGCAGAAGCAGGTAGATCTCTGTGCTTTCTGTCTGTCTTTATAGAGAAACAGCGTCTCAAAACAACAACATAAACAAAACAAACTAGCAAAAACCAACCAAGATGGAGTGGGAGAGATGCTTCAATAGTTTAAGAACTTTTACTGCGGTTGCAGAGGACCTGGGTTCGGTTTCCAACACCCATATATTGGCTCACAACCACCTATAACTCTCATTCCAGGGAATCTAATGCCCTCTTCTGGCTTCTGAAGGCACCAGACATAAATGTAGTATACAAACATGTATACAGGCAAAACACTCATACACATAAAATAAAAGTAATAAATCTTTCAAAAAACCTGTTTTTTTCTTTCATATAAAGGCCATAGATATCTGTATGCCTATTTTTTCTTCAGCATTACTGAATTCTCTAATACTCTAGACTACTTTTATTATGGGTCGTATGTGCCCCTCTCTTCTTCCTGGAGGCTGTTGACCACTGACTCTTAAAGACAAAGGGAGCAGAAGAAGGTTGGGGTGGGGTGTGTGGATGGATTGGCTGACAAAATCAGAGAGGTCAACTTTATTCAGGGTGAACAAGGACTATATAGATCTTGAAGAGTGGATAAGGATTTCCAGGGCAGAAATTTGGCTAGTGTAGGAATGCTTCATTTACATGAAGAGCAATTCCAAGAACCTGCCTGTCAGGTTCTTATTGAGGGGTGGGGGAGTTCAACTTGTAATCTGGTCATAGGCTACATGACTTCCCTCAGAAGTTTTTTGGGGTCACAGGCAGGAAGGGCTGCTATCTATCATTCAGCAGGAAAAGCTGAGAGAGACTTATATCTAAACTATGTAGCACCTGAAAGAAGCCCTGTACAGGATCATCCTCCAGAAAAGATCAGACAGAGAAGAAGAAATCCCACCAAGAACAGGAGTCCTCCCTTTTTTGCCAAGCTCAGAGAGCTTATCTGCACATGGTGGACATCTATCTTAATAGCAGTCTTCCAACAGTTGTCAAGTTATCTAAGTAAATAACAATACCACTGGAATAGGATATACTTACTTTTTGATCTGTCTATTTTAACTATATTAATTGTCACCACTGTAGTATTGAATGGTAGTATATATACTACTACTATATGTTACATATATATAATACCTTGTAGCTAGAATGCTTCTGGAATTTCTACACTAAGTATTATGCTGACTATAATACTAATAACTTTATTTAAAGTTAACATTTTTACAATGTTAAGAAAATGACAGACCTAAAGCATTATGTTAAGTGAAATAAGCCACTTTAAACTCACCAAAATTGTTATAAAAAGGACTAATAATGACAAGTTTGGGTATGAACAGTTATTGGGAACTAGAATTAGTGAACCTTTTATAATGTACAAATAGTCAATACTTTACTTTTTATGGGGTATGTGGGTTTTGTCACAAGAACTTTGATCTCTTTTGTAGTTCAAAAGCAAGAAATAAAAGTACTTACTATGCAAACCTAATGACTTGGTTTAATTTCTAGGCTCAGTGTAAAAAGCCCGGATGTAGTAGTACACTTCTGTAAGCTCCAGAACTATGGTGAGCTTCAAGCTGAAGACAGAAGACTCACCCTGATGCGCATGGGCCTGGAGAATGCAGGGTGGTAGAGCTGGAGACCCTTCCTCATGGGGTTTTCCATTCTTAACATTTTTTGTTTGTTTCCCAAAGTCTCCATTTCCTTGCTTAATTTTTTATGCATGCTGGAGATTTTCTTATCCACATTCTTGACCTATTTCCCCCACACTGCTGATTGCTTCAGATCCTGGGTTTAATTCATTGGATTTTTGAGTCACCTTTTAGATTCCTGAGCATTATTGTCAGTAAACGTGAAATTCTGACTTGGCATTTTGTCTGTTTCAGTTTAGATCCCACTAGTCATAGTTATGATTTTGTAAAGAAGTCATGCTGCCTTGCTTTTCTGAGGTTGCTGCATTCTTGCACTGTGGTCTGAACATCTCTTGAACAGCTTACCATTGAAAATTCCACTCACAGACCACACATAGAGTAAAAAACAAACTGCTGTAGCAGCTCCTACATTAACCTATGCCACACACATACACACACACACACATACAGGCACACACACATATCACAGATACATGCACACACATACACACATGCACGCACACACTTAAAACCAATTAAAGTTCATGAAATTTTCACTAATAATAAAAAATGATATAAATAGCATAGATATGATATAAATTTTTAAATTATTTTGAGCACAAATATATATTATATATTTATATATGTATTTTATTTATATGTAATATAAAATATATATTTATAAATATATGTTTATTTAACATACACATGCACACACATATATATAATATATAATTTATATTTTAATAATATAAATTAATAACATAATATAATATATTATTATATATTATTATAATATTATTATAATATTGTATATAATTATAATTTATTATATTATACTATATATCATATATACTATATATGATATATATATATATATATATATATATATATATATATATATATATATCAGAGTAGAAAATAAAGCATTGCCTATGTTGGACCTTAAAGCAGTCTCTATGTTCAGAAAAACCCAGTTATAATTGTTTTGTATGCTGGTAGGACAGATGAAGTGATCTTGCCTCAGACTATGTCCTGGAACTCTGCAGTGGAGAAAATGCCACTTTCATTCCTGGTTTTTGTGATTGTTGATTGCCACATAGTGACAGAGAACCAGACGTGTGAAAAGTGGCATGCCCAGCATGTTAGTGAGTGTGGCGAGCTTGCAGTCCGTGATCATCCTAACCAGTTCCACTCTGCTCTGACACTATCGCTGCACGAGCTCTGAGGTCTAAATTATTTAAAGCGTTTGTGGAAATGGTAAGTGAATGAGATAAAAGAAGATGGCAGGAAGAAGTAGAGATGAGGAGAGGCTTAATATGAAGAGACAGAGAAATTTTTGATTTTAGGAAGAGGAAATAGAGGGAAGAAAACACACTAAAACCATTGCTCAGTAAAGGAAATGCTCAAAGACAAACTTAGATGAGTGTAAGAAGAGGAATTTTTAAAAGCATGAGTATTTTAAGAATTAATAAGTTGGTGACAAAATACTATTAAAAGTACAGTAGAGAGAAAGAAGGAAGAAGTGCAGAGATCAAAAAGAAAAGAGAGACAAAATGAACTTCGACTCAAGATCCGTAGACGCACGTTTCCATCACTTGCTTCGTTTTGTTGATGTACAGTAGTAGAATCTGTACTGGACAAGAGTCTGCTGTCTACCAGAGCTGTCTTCACCTTGGTAGTTTTTTCCATACCGGAGGTATCTGCTGGACATCTACCCCTGTGGTGGCTAATGTACTAACTAGGGATCTGACAGGGAGACTCTATATGCTTTGTTAGTATGGGAAGCTCTCACAACATCGAGATCCATACTGGAAGAGGACATATCTTCGTGTTTCTGGAGGTACTTGGTATTAATCACCCTGCTGGAGGGATGTGTCTGTGGATCCCAGTAAGTTCTCACTCTGCAGTGGGCAAGATCAGACAAATACCTCTAGAAGCACCAACTCATCCACGCGGGCTCCAAGGAAAGACTCGGCTGATGGGTCTCACTCCTGACTACCAAAGGTAGAGTTCTTGAAGAGTTTCCTTGACTGAGCGACCTTCTCCTACCTGTTCCCTTTGAACTGTTAGTGTTCAACTCTCTTTCTTTTCTATAACCCTCTTGAAAAGACACTGCTCACCCGGAGCTATGGCAGGCCAAAATGAGGGTCCTGTTCTGAGATTCTAGGGCAATTCAATTTTTAACAATACATTCAATCATCTTCTATCTCAAGTCATAGTTTTCCTCCACTGCTGATCCATGCTCAGGAGGAATCATGGTGCCATCAAAACCCACAACTGTCTCTGAGGTTGGTGAGAGCTGTGGGCTATTCGTGAGGCTACACAGGTCAGTCGTTCACCTTTGGAAGATACTCAGTTTCTTCTCTTCACACAGGAGCCCTGTGAGGCTGAAGCCGTGCTTGGCTTATTTCTCAAATAGATTGGTTCCTTTCAGGTGTCCTCTTACCATCTTTGTGCGTTTCTACACCTTATTCCCCCTTTAACTTTGCAACAGAGCTCCCTCGTTCCCTTTCTTATTCTCGTTTTTTACTCAGTCACACAAAAGTAGCTCCTAGCCTACCATTTGTCCCAGGAGTCCTTCAAGTATAATTAAGCTAGAATGTATTTTAGAATATTTCACTCTGGGTCAACTTTCGTTTGTAAAACCCAACATAAAACTCTGGTTTCTTTCTGAATGCTTTTTATTTTAAGTGCTTGTTATGTTCCATTCTTTTGTTTTTCTTAAAGACCCCCTAATGTATATAAATTGATTGTTCATGGCTGTCTTTCATTATTTTCTTTATGATCATTTACTTTTTTCCCTCTATCCCCATCCCATTTTCTTGAACAATTTATGTTTTCTTCCTCAAGTACTTCTTTGAGATATTCACATACAAAAAAAATATATTCCCATAATATTCAGATATGTGCATCCTTTCCATAATCAGTTTTTAAGATTTTTAAGGTACAAAACCCAAGCAAACTGTGTTTTCTGGAAAGCTGTGAAGTAAGAAAAGACTCTGGAATTTACAACAACACTGAAAGTCAGAATTAGAGAAAATTTTTAGCCAGACTCAAAGCTTTACCTTTATTTTCTGAGTCATGCTAGAACACTTGACATGGAACAGAACACCCTCTCCTTCAATGTAAGGGATAGAGCTGACTGTACACCATTTGCCTGGTAAACTAGCTCCAAGTGGAGTTCAAGTGTCTCTCAACCTGCTCATTCTGGTTTACTACCTATTCCCTGATTTCCAAGTGGAATCTGAAATAATAATACTTCTTTGCAAATTGCCCATTGTCAACAATGCAGGAAAACTAGGAATAATGTTGTTCATACAGAAAGTTGAGAAGTGCACTGGATTCCTTATGCGTAGTCTCACTGCTATGCAATGTATAGTCAGAATTGGAGATAAACCAATATTCCTCAGAAAGGTCGCCTCCAGACAAGCACTGGAAAATTCCTCCAAAGGAAGATACCAAATTAAATCTAAAATTGTAATTCTATAAATATACAAATATATAATAAAATATGTTACATTTTCTTCTAATTAAGTATATGTATACTTATGAATATAAATTATGTATATAAATACAGTTGATATTACAATATCCAGATGTAAATTATCAAAATCCTAATTATATAGTATACTAGTCTTTCATGTCTTTCAGTCATTAAAACTAATTTTGCATATGAATTTTTAAAAGAATGTATGGATAAAAGGTCTCACAAATCTTCTGTCTGTCCTAGATATTGTATATACTAACATACCAGGCAGAAACCTATTAAATTTTATTGAACTGTGGACTATAAAACTATTTCAGTATTTAGAAAAAGTTTTTTTTCCAAAAGACTCTAATTCTGAGCACGTGATCAATTGCTAGAGGCTGTTATTATAGGAAACCACCTGGAACTAAGAGTAAACACAAAATCTTCCTAGTGTATATGTCTTTATCTGCATACCTATCCTAAATTCTATTACATATTTATAAAGTACTACACATGGAAAATAAAAACTTTATTTATAATAGATACTCATGAATATATAAGGAACTAGGCATACTCAGTATTTTTCATATATTCTAAAATTACAAATACAAGCGTAGACAGTTAATACATACAAACAGTTTTAGTAATCAAGCAACCTCTAAAATGACAACATCGCTCCTCTGTTAATTATAAACATCAACAGTAAATCTTGAACAATGAGACAGTGATTTGTATACCTGCACATATGTGTTCATGTATGTTTTTCCTAAAGTCAAGTTGCTCTCATTTTCAACGGTCAAAGGTATTTCTCAGACTTTCCCACACGAATCACTAGATAAGTGGGCGCACAAGACTTCTGTACTTTTCAGTGATCTACTACAGAACCTCACTCTGTAGACTTTCCAAAAGATTGTTTCAATTCAATGAGAGAAAATATTTCCCAGCAACAAAGTCAACATTTCTTCCTACTTGGATTCAGACCACAGAAGTAGTCAGAATCAGAAATCTATAGGCAAACTGATAGAAATTAGAATGAGTTATACCCACAGATTCAAGTTCTTTCTGCATGCAAAAACTGCTTTGTTATATGATTTGTGTTTTAAACATATGCTTTCCATTCTTTGACATGTAATCTGACCCTTTTCAATAACCAGGAACATCTCTTGAACTAAAGAACTTTGCAAATCAAAACTAAAATTGACATAGATTTGATCTTACAGACCATTTGGTAAGAGAAATTAGCTTATTCTATTAGCGCTGTGGAAACTTTGCTTTATATTACGTGCAGTAAAATCTAATTCCAGCCAAATGCAGTCCACTCAGGTAAGAGCCCAGCCTTATGGGGCCCTGTCCATATGGATCCCATAAGCCTCTCCTCTCTTCTTTGAGCCACCTAGATTGACCTGCTGGCTTGATCTACAGTGTATTCTCTCTGAAGCTCGCTCTCTCTCTCTCTCTCTCTCTCTCTCTCTCTCTCTCTCTCTCTCTCTCTCTCTCTCTCTCTCTCTCTCTCCTCTCCTTCCCCACTCTCCTCTTCTCTCTCCCTCCCTTCTCCCTGTTCCTCTCTCTCCCCTGTCTCCAGTATCTCTCCCCAATCTCCTCCTCCTCTTCCCCCCTCTCTCCCCTTTTATTGAGTCATCTATTGAAATTTGGTTTTATTAGTGCCCTTTCCTGTTTCCAGGCCAATCATGAATGTCCATCCCTTTTCTCTTTCCTGTGTTGGTTTTCTTAGACGTTTTCACAGTCTAAAATGTTACCGATTTGTGTTTTCCCATTGGATGGACAACTCTATTAGGATGTAAGCTCTGTGACTCTGGGGGTCTTTCAGCTCATTTCAGTATCTTCTCTCTCTTGGTTTTCAGGAGTTGAATGAAGTTAAGTGTGTGAATGTAAGGTTCTTTTTAGCACAACCACATGACTGAGAGCCTGAAAGTATTGTGGAGTTTATGGTTTCCCGAAAATTAGAAAGATACATTTTGTGAAAAGAAAAAAAAAATGTTAAAACTACTCCTTCCTGCCAAGCAGTCATGAAGGCTGAATCATTTCCTTCTAACAAAGCAGCGAGTTTGGGGGTAGGGGGAGCTGATAAGTATCAGAAATCTCACAGAGTGAAATGTCATTGCTAAGAAATAACAGCTCCGCTGGCAGTAGTCAAAAACGTTTTCTTAGAAAAAGGAAGTATTTCAAATTTCAGTGTATATTTAGAAAATAGTTTAGACATTTATTACAAATTTAGACTTGGAAGAGTCTTTCCATAGATATTTCTCTGAGAATCAGAGTCAAGATGTCTGTTTATTATCATCATATTTGATAGTAATGCACTCAGGCTTCAAAAGACATCATATACTTTATTAGAGTCATGGAAGCCAAGTTATTATATGTAGTGTGTATCTATAAAGACCAGGGATTTTTTAAATGGAGTTTATGAATAGTTAATAATGTAGGAACAAAGTAAATACTTTAGAAAGCATAAGGGCAGCAGAGTTGTATCTTATATCTGCAATTTCAGTTCTCAAGAAACTGAAGCAGAAGGATGGGAGTTCAAGGAGAGCCTGAGCTACACAGCAAGTGCAAGGCTAGCCCAGAGACAAGACTTTGTCTTAAATAATAGGCCTCAAACCAGAAGGATACAATAAAACATTTAGTTTTACTTTAACTAAATTTGAAATTATTTTGATAGGTTATTTTATACTAGAAAGTAGAATGAA